AAACACGCACACTCCTCTCCATTGGATTTCTGAGCTGCGAAGGAGACAGATGGTTGCCATAGCAACTATCTGCGCACAGCTAGGAATGTGTTTCTGTGCAAGCGCATCTGTTTCTCCCTGGCCGTCCACAGATCTGCCCTCACGCACCGAGAGGAAGGAGAAAGAAGCATGTGTGCTGCAAGCAGGGGACTGGACAGGACAGGAGATGGGATTAATAGGCCCGGGCCGCAGGTAAGATAACACATACCATGTGGTGGCTCTTATTTCACCTATACCTGGGCACTTTACTTTCCACTTCTACAGGGCAAATCCACAGACATGACCGGGATCCCAAAGGCAAACCACGCATGTTTTTGGAAAGATAAAAGAATAGCTGGTAACAAATAAAAATTTAAAATTAAATGAAAATTAAAACAAGGTAGATTTACGCCTATTTTAGAGCTTCAGGTCAAAAGAAATATTCAGTAACAGTGAACATACAAGCACAGATAGGCATGAACATCATGAAGAAACCAGGCACTGGATGGCTAACCAAGAAGAGATCAGAAGAGTGAATATCACATTCCTCATGTGCACAGTGGTGATCTTATCTAGACAACATTCAGAGGTTTCATACATGAAAGCAGGCTAGGACTGGCCAGGTCTGTGTTAGGAGTGGGTGATATGATGATATACAGTACATGTACACTGTGAGACAGTTGTCGTAGATTTTACTTTCCTGCTTATTTTTGTTATATTGTATGAAGGTGTATTTCATTCACTTGAAAATGTATTTTTTGGTTTGTTTTTCTGAGTAATTATTTCTGTTTTTCTGAGTAATTTATTCTTTGGTTTGTTTTTCAGAGTAATTTATTTTTTCTGAGTTTAGAGAGGATTTGAAACAATAGACGCATTCATTCATTCTTGATTTAACGGAAACAAACATGACCGGCTTGTTTAGTTCAATCACAGACACTGGGAGATATCCTGTCTTTAAGTCATTAGATACCGGTACGTGATAGTTTGAAGATGGGATGTATGTGCGGGCAGGAGTCACCATAGGTCCATCGGAGTCACTTACAGGTTGGAGGTTCTCGCGGGAGTTCGAAGTATCTCCATAATTCAGAAAAAAAATTACTCCGAAAAACAGGAAAAGAATTACTCAGAAAAACAGGAAAAAAAAAATGTCAGGAAAACAGAAACAAATTATAAAAAAACCCCCCAAAAAATGTAATTACATTTTTACAAATGTAATTACATTTTTTTTTTCAAGTGAGTGCAATACGCTTCCGTCATATTGTTATCTTGTTTATCCATAGATAGTTTTTTTTAACAGATTTTCTATTTTCTAGAAAATCTATTTTAATTCATAAATTCATTTTAATGCTCTTGTCTTAAGATATTGTCTTTCTTTGCAATTATTTGTGGCATTTTAGCTTATCTTTGGTATGGTTTTATATTTTATTTATATGCTGGTTTTATTAGTATGCCATCCTGTCAGTCGAGCTTCATGAGCTGCCCAATGTGTTTCCATACATCCAATTTAATTGCACATTAAACAGCATGTAAGTGTACATGATGTGGTCCGTACTGCTCAATACCACTGCTAACACTTTCTGCCCGTGGCCTCTAACCTACAGCGTAAGTTTGTTTACTTTGTCTCTTTCTCTCCCCTGCTGCTGCCAGCTGCTGTCAATCAAACACAGACACCGATACGCCCCTCTAGCGGCTAACACGAGAAGAAAAATATCTGATATTTCCCTAAAGACCTTTTTTTCTCTTTTAATAGTAAAAAACTATGGTAGCACTTTGGATAGCTAGCCTACAGTTATTTGTAACATCTCAACTGTTTAACAGTATCTATAGAGGATATATGACAATTCAGGAACATACCCTAACCAAGATGTTTTTTTGTGTCTAAACCTAGACAAACCACAGGGGTTTAATACA